ATGGGGCAATTGTTTTAAAGACCAGTTATCCAAAAATAATTTACGCAGTTTCTTTAGTGGTGATTTTGTTCATATTAAAGTTTATTTCAAACCATTCTCTGTTCCAATATGGGAGCGCATTGTTGCTCAGCTTCATTTCTTTCAGTAACTTTATACTGGGAATCAAGTTGAAATAGTACATTGAGGTATAAGTGGATATGAAGATGTGCTCGAAATGGGGCAATTGTTTTAAAGACCAGTTATCCAAAAATAATTTACGCAGTTTCTTTAGTGGTGATTTTGTTCATATTAAAGTTTATTTCAAACCATTCTCTGTTCCAATATGGGAGCGCATTGTTGCTCAGCTTCATTTCTTTCAGTAACTTTATACAGGGAATCAAGTTGAAATAGTATATTGAGGTATAAGTGGATATTAAGATGTGCTCAAAATGGGGCAATTGTTTTAAAGACCAGTTATCCAAAAATAATTTACGCAGTTTCTTTAGTGGTGATTTTGTTCATATTAAAGTTTATTTCAAACCATTCTCTATTCCAATATGTGAGCGCATTGTTGCTCAGGTTCATTTCTTTCAGTAACTTTACACTGGGAATCAATTTGAAATAGTATATTGAGGTATAAGTGGATATTAAGATGTGCTCGAAATAGGGCAATTGTTTCAAAGACCAGTTATCCAAATAGTAGTAGTAAAAAAATATGAAAAAATGCATGACTCTAAAAACATTAAACTTAAGCAATTCTCTTCCTGCAGCAAATTTTGTAATTATATTGAAGTATTTATGTTTTGATGTGCCCAAAACCTCAAGTGGAGCGTTTGGTTCCTTCAGAAAATACAGGGTGTCAAAAAAATGTCGAATCTTGAGTGGTCGGTTTCATGTGTTGAGAATAGTATGATTTGCTCAAACTGTTGGTTTTACTGTGATAAGCAATTTTGGAATAGTAAATATTCCAGATGAATGACACTTATACTTTTTGAATAAATATTCATTATAAATCGTTCGAATATTTTACATTATCGAGGATTTTGACCCTCATTTCGGAATGGTCTAGCCATGAAAGTCTGCATAATTTTAACAAAGATAAACAATTATTGGGCTCGACAATTACTAGAAATATTTTTTTTACTGTATACATGAACGTTTGGACATCAATGAATGAATTCCTGAAATTGTATTTGTACATAGGAAGTGTTGGTATGTTGAAGGGTTTTTGGTTTACTTCCATACGGGGTGTGACATTTTTATCCTGCTCGACTTCAAGAATATACTGAGAACAAAAATCTTGAGTCTTTTTCAGATGGATCAAATCTGACACACTTTGTGATCCATAAAGTATATGGAAATATATAATCATTACTATACAGCCAGATTCATAAAAGTTGCACTATAAAGAAAACATTTTCTTACATGGTCCAACCTTTCTGAAATTTCCTGTATATGTATGTATCAGTAAAAGTGGGATCGGGAATCCAGTGATCAAAAGTTATTAGAACTTTTTTCATTCATGAATAAAATGTGCTAGCAGTGTGTGAATGAACTGGGAATTGTTGATCCGAACACAATGATTTGTGTGAATCGACTTTCTTTTGAAGAAGATCAATTAATTTGAATACGAGTCGTGAGGGATTTTTCTTTTCGTTTTTCTTTGTTTTTTGAAAGAAATTAACAACATGTCTGATTGAAGAGAGTTGTTTCAGACTCTCAAAGCCCGAGTAAAAAATTTTAACAGTAGAAACGACTGATAATAACAACGCTTCAAACACACGATATTTCGAAAAATAATGAAACTATTGAAAACGTCAAAACATTTTGTTCTCTTTCTGTCCTACAAACATTATTCTTAAATTTGATATACGAGAAATGTGAAAATGTTTCAATCAACTCAATCAATTCCAAGTTAGATTTCTTGGAGTCACCCAGAATAATTCCATGATATGTATCAATGAATTATTTTTGGAATAGTAGGAGATTTTGTTCTGAAGTTTTTAATATCTTGATTATTTATGGAGATATCCAGTGTTGAAACTGAGAAGTCAATCACTAATATACAGTACTTCCTTTTTGGAAAGTGAGTTAGCTCAATCTACATTCTCTTTTTACCCATTTCATCTTCAATAATTACAATTTTTTTAGGCAGTGTGAGTCTGAAACCACCATTCTATCAGTTCCATGTATTCAACTTTTGAATAAATACAAGGTGTGAAAATGGCGATGCCAAAATAAAACTGCATATAAAGCACTGAAAACAAAAGACCCACATTCATTTGTTTTGTCAATTTTTGAATAATTTGGCCTCAATTGAAGTTCAGGAAAATTATTCACCCCTACAAAACAAAACGGGTCTGTTTATTTTCAATGTTTCATCTACAGTACCGCTATGGCAAGGTCATTTTGAAACACCCTGTATTGAACATCAAACGATTCGTTCCATTTCGACCCTTGACAATTTCATATCAATATCTATGTAGAGGGTTGTAAATAAAAAAAATGAAGGTAGATTGCGATTGTTCTAGATTTGTCTCAATAATTGCATATATACATAGGGCTATTTTGATACAGACAGAAGGACAAATCTAGCTGATCGCTTCTAATCAACGCATTATACGCTTTATTAATTTTTGTGTTATGTGAATTATCGTATATTTAATACTTGAAAATGGTGTAGAAATATTATACATATTTTACTTTTGTATATTTTAAGTGCTTATTACTGTTAGGAATTTTAAATATTGTTGAGTTATAAACAAACTAATATTTGGCGTGTTTACTGTTCAAACAACTAAATTTTGTTGAAGGTATATTATGTTGATTTATTTTTGGACTTTGGATAACTCTTATACTGCGCCATCTGATATTTTTTATACATATAATTATTAATTCATCAAATATTTTCTCTAATTGTCAATATCAAACTTGTATATAGGATGATTTCAATTTTTTTCCCGAAAGAATCAATATTTTTTTGACTAAATTGCAGAAAGGAACCTGTGGCATCAAATTCAACTGAAGAAAAAAAATGAATGAAAATAATCAATCTACCTCAGTTTCAAGATGAATTTTGATGCTCTAAAAAAGAATTTGACCAGGTATTTGCTTCTTTTTTCAGGTTTTCAAAGAAATCAAGATAATTATGTAGTTCTGCAATGACTTGTCTAAAGAAAAAGAAAATTCTAGTAAGATTCATCACAGCTGTTTTGATTTAGAAGAATTTTCGACCCTATACAGGCTCATCTTCAGCTGTATGTAATGAACGTTGTAGAGTTTTAGGATGACATTTATCTGAAGATGAGTTGAAATAAGCTCGAAACTTGCACTCATCAACACAGAATTGATGAATACTATTGAAAATAGTGGAGGTGCCTAGAGTTTTCCTACTTCTGAACAATTTCACTTATATATTTATGTATACATATCGAATTGATTTACATATTGATACATTTTTATTGAATTTCCAGAATCAGATGGCCAGTTGAGTTTGAGTTAACTATATTGACTTGCTCTAGTTGTGGGCGTGCCAAAATAAAAACGACAGAATTGGTTGAATTGACTGCTCAATGTGTTGATATATTTTGTTAATTATTGTAATGGTGTTTTTTCTTACTATTTTTTACACGTGTAGATATCGGGGATTTTGTTTGTGCATGAAAATAATTATATAATTTCAGTCTTCCTCTGCACATACAGAAAATAATAATAATAATAGTAATAATTAAAATGATTTCATGATGATAACCGTCGTGGGATTGAGAGAATTGTTGTGTTCATAATATTTTACAGTATTTTATACATTTTATAAAATAAAACTAAATAAAAAACATAAGAAAAAAATTACATAAAAAATACAAAAAATATTTGCCCTTTATCGGTAAACTATCGGTGAAAAAAGGCCTACAGTTTTTACCTGTTCTTGCATGATGAAAAAGTGTGTACCTAAAAAACTATAGAAAAAAACAAACAATTGAAGAAAAAATCTCAATCAAACAATCAATATTGTAAAGAAAAGAAAGAGCAAATCTGAATTGAATTTCACGGGTTAATTTTGAATATCGTCACAAGCTGTAATTTCGCCATTTTTCATCTGATGAAGAATGAAAAAATCATTACAAACTGATTTTTGAAGACAAAGAAATAATTTTTTCAGTTTGTGGTAGAAGAAAAATCTTTAAATAATTCAAGACATGACAACGCCGCAGCGGATTTTCAATTTTATAGCATAGTCGGGAAACCATAACAAGAGAAATAAGCAGGGTGCACCATCTAGAAACAGTACTTTCTGAGCTTTATGACTTTGTGTACATTTTTGTAAATTTTATTTTGTAAAATTTGTATATTGCTAGACCAATTCTCCCGAAGTACAAATGAGTACATTAGAGACCAGCGAATCTTTCAAATCTCAAGGTTATCAGAAGGTAATTCGTGTTTATAAGACTTATAAGGTAATATGGAGAAGGAAAATATCTCTTCTGCATGAGAAAGGAGGTTCCTCTCAACCTAATTTGTCCTAATTTAACCTTTTTCCTAAAAAGCGTATTTTCGAACAATTAATTGAGTAGAAAAAATTTAAAAAAAAATTGACTCCTCGCCGGGATTGAACCGCCGTCCCTCCATTGGAAGTCAGATACATAGACCACTTTGTTATCGCTTTACTCGTAGTAGTCCTAGTTTCTCAATATAAAGAAGGAAGAAATATCATGTGTTGTGGGTGACGTCACTTCACCTCGATGTTTGAAGATTCGCTGCATATTCAGTTCTACCAGTGGCTATCGTTCATAATCAGAATCATCGTCTAGATAATTTTTATAATATGATTAAGTCATTGATTATATCCTACTAATTCAGTGCATAAATAAGAATGAGGGAGGATCATGTCAAACTTGCTATCCGTCACAGGAGAAAAAGCCGATTTTTTTTTTAAATACTTTGCTAGATGGTGAAGGAAAGCAGGAGTTGCAGCTTGTGGCGTTTTGTTTTTTGTTTCATTATAAATAAGTGATTGAAACGTTCGAATAATATTGCTTTATTTACAAAAATAATTAGCCATCGAATTTTTCCATTATTTTTGATTATGCAAGACAGTTTGACCTCAGCTCGATTGAACGTACCTGTGATGTAACCTCGCTGTTGACCAAATATAGAAATAGTATGATAATTCAGTGATGGCACACTTCTCCGATTTCAGCGATCTTCTGATCCATTTCGTTAATCGTAAATATATATAACAGGGCAATTCTCTATACTTTGCGACCACCTCGGAGGCATAGAAAAACAAAATGGGGCTACCGTCATGTGTTGAGTGGCGTAGCTGAAATAAGAAAACCGTATTTTTAGAGCTAGCAAGCAGCGCCCTAAGGATTGTATGGCATAATTCGAGTTAGCCTCATATACGTACTAATAATCAATATGGATAATCTCTATCTGTTTCCATAGCGAAACATGAAGCCGATTTTTGAAGACAAATGACTATCCATAAGGAAAAGTTTTGAAACGATCAGACACATACTGCTTTGATTGAAAGGCTAGTAAACGTCATTGTCCACCGAAACGCATGTCTTTGATGACTACTATAATAGCGCATGGCGCATGCGTATCATGCCACCAAATCCTTATGGATATTCATTTGTTTCATATTTTTGGCTTCATCCTGGCACCCGTTATGATCCGTATTGTTTATTAATACGTATATGGTTAGCCTAAACACTTTAGTATATGGGGTGATCAGCATCAGATAAGTAACGCGAAAAGGAGAAAAAACAACATCAATATATTATAGAAAACACCCTATTTAATATTAGTAATTTTACGGAAAACTTATGAGTGTAATCTGTTGTTTTTTCAATTAATAAAATTATATATGCCATAATGTCCTAATGATTGTTACTTAGTACTTATTTCACTTGATCATATAAATATATATTTTTTAACAAGTTGTGTTGGTAAAATTTATAAGGATTTCTATCTGTGGTTTTAGTTCCTCATAAGTTTTACAGAATAAACTGTTGCTTGGAGAAGTGTTAATTTATTTCTGAATCACCCAAAAACAATACCCTAACAATCCTACTATTCCAGAATAGCTGGAATTCTGCATATATTAATTAAGAATAAAAATAATCTAAGAATTCCCAAAATTATGAAATCTCTGAAATTGTTCGCTATTCCAAGATAGTTGGAATTCTCTATATACAGTGTGTCCCACTTACCATGCTCACCATGGGTATCTTTTAAACGGTGGAAGATACGAGGTCGGTTAAATGACACCAAATGTGGAGTTTTTCAAGGCCAACTATAATGTGAAAAAAATTTTTGATAAAATCTATTCGTTTTTGTTTTATACGCAAAAAACAGATTTTGATCATTTTCATGTCTCCTCCGTAACTTCTTTATTTATGAAAATATTCAAATAGGAATTCCACATTCTTATGGCAGTTTTTCAAAGTGATTTCGAAAAAAATATGAAATTTATACCAACTCTTCTAGAATTTGAGATATCAGCACCAACTTTAGTTTTTCAAATGTAGGTCATAGCTCACTATGGCATAGTTACAAATAACTTTTTTTTCTCTTCCAGATGATATGTCGCAGTAATAGTTTTGTGTTGATAACAACGGAGTTATCGTCATTTATACAAAAACAAAAAATTATTTGGAAGCCGCCATCTTGAATTTATAAATTTTAACAAAACAATCATGATCTCCGACCTCGAAAACCCCCACTTACCAATTTTGAATGGAATCGGACCAAATCTTGTCCGCCATCTTGGAGCAGCCATTTTTTTCAATTTCAACAAAAATTCCATAATGTATTGTCACCAAAATTATGAACACCTGTCAAATTTCAAGTTAATCGGAGTTATGGAATTTTTGTTGAAATTGAAAAAAAATGGCTGCTCCAAGATGGCGGACAAGATTTGGTCCGATTCCATTCAAAATTAGTAAGTGGGGGTTTTTGAGGTCGGAGATCATGATTGTTTTGTTAGAATTTATAAATTCAAGATGGCGGCTTCCAAATAATTTTTTGTTTTTGTATAAATGACGATAACTCCGTTGTTATCAACACAAAACTATTACTGCGACATATCATCTGGAAGAGAAAAAAAAGTTATTTGTAACTATGTCATAGTGAGCTATGAACTACATTTGAAAAACTAAAGTTGGTGCTGATATCTCAAATTTTAGAAGAGTTGGTATAAATTTCATATTTTTTTAGAAATCACTTTGAAAAACTGCCATAAGAATGTGGAATTCCTATTTGAATATTTTCATAAATAAAGAAGTTACGGAGGAGACATGAAAATGATCAAAATCTGTTTTTTGCGTATAAAACAAAAACGAATGGATTTCATCAAAATATTTTTTCTCATTATAGTTGGCCCTGACAAACTCCACATTTGGTGTCATTTAACCGACCTCGTATCTCTCACCGTTAAAAAGATACCCATGGTGAGCATGGTAAGTGGGACACACTGTACAGTGTGACCCACTTCTGATGGAAACACCCCTGTAGCTAACGTAATCGTTGCGTAAAAATCCTGAAATTTGCTGGAGCGAGAGATATACCGAAAATGCACTATTTCACAAATGGGGTCATCTTCAGTGATATACACTGCTCGCCAACAGCCATGGAACCACCCCAATTTCCGGAAAATGATATTAGGAGTCAAAATAGGTTGAAAATCACTTCGGATTCGGAATCATGATGCCCAATTCATCAACTATTCATAGTTTTTCTAGAAAATTTTCAGTTCATGATAATTAAATTTAATCTCACTTCTCATGGAAGTACCCCCGTATCTCACGTAATTATTAATCATTCCAGAATTACGTCATTTGACAGGTTGCTGCATTTTGTCAAGATTTGTCATATAAAACCAGAATTAGTGGGACCGTTTTCCTTGGAATCCGGGTTAGAAACCAAAAAAAAAAGTCATGATTTTGTTTGGTGGAACTGTTATTATATTGTAGATCTGGCAGGGATTGCCAGGGCTTTGCTCATCAAAGGTAACCTAACAAATAGTTTGTATGCCCCTCAAGAAACCATGTCAAAATCGCGTGTTCTAGAATGGTCAATTGAGGTAGGGTTCTGAAATTTGCAGGAGGAAGGGAAAGTCCGAAGATAAAGTCAATTACGTAAGATACGTAAAAAGTGCGACAAAATTCAATTTTTCAGATAAAAAAAATTTCCAGGAAAAATATGAATATTTAGTGAATTGGGCGTCCTGATTCCGAATCTGAAGCGATTTTTGACCTATTTTGACTCCTAATATCATTTTCCAGAAATTGGGGTGGTTCCATCGCTGTTGGCGAGCAGTGTATATCACTGAAGATAACCCCACCATAGAGTGCATTTCTGGTATATCTCTCGCTCCAGCAAATTTCAGGATCCTTACCCAATGATTACATAAGATACAGGGGTGTTTCCATTAGAAGTGGGTCACACTGTATGTTGGCATTACTGAAACGTGAGGTCAATGTCAGTAAAAATTCCCAAAATTTTGCCCGATAGTCCTGAAAGCTGTGGCCTATTTTATGGAAAATATTCGTAAAAATGAACAAATAGATTTGAGACTTTTTTCTCAATGTGGAACATCACTATCAATTCCTACATCGACGTATGGCAGAGGCCAAGGATAAATTCCGTTAATCAACCGAGGTTACCAATGCTTTCAGGGCTGATACCAACAATTTTGACAGTGGTTATCTACTGATGACTACGGTTGTGGTTTATTCACGGAATGCCAGCCATTTGACAAATTATATTTTTGATCATTTTTCGAACAATCATGCTCTGCCAGTTTTGATTTTTAATTATGGCACCCAAAAGTCCCTAATTCACGTGCAAAATAAGCACAAGCAAGGGATGTAGTGTCCTGAAATGCCAAAAAATAAACGTCATCATACTGAAAATATATGGAATATTATTCATTTACCTCAGTTACAGAAAACTACTAACCGAAATAACCAAGTTGATTTACGGAACAGACCCCAACAAATGACACAAAAAGAATTATAGGTATTTATCAGTGTTGCCAACTCTAACCTCACATTTCAGTAGAGCGAACTGGTGAAGAATAAATAATGTTAGCCCTCATTGACACAGGAAGAGTTGAAGGACTCAAGTTTTTGACAATGTGTACTTTCCAAAAAAGCACTGGGGGAAAAAAATGTCCTCCCTTTTGTCCTTGTCTTCAAGGTTCTAATAACGTGAAATATTCAAAATGTTATGTCGGTAAGACGAAAAATGAGAAGAATACCCTTCTAGTCATTTTTATATTGAGGTTAGAATAGTCTTCTTCTAATTACTTGAGTTACCAACATGAAATTTTGATTATTTCACGTTGAAAGACAATGACAGAGGAGGAAGACATACTTTTTCTCTCTCAATACCTATTGGCTGAACTTGTCAGAGCTCAAAACTGAAAAGAGCATTACAGTCGGAAGAAAATAATGAGGTATTTTCAGATTATTTCGTTCTTATCCAACCACCACTGTATACCCTCATTAGTTGTTGAAATTAAAAAAAAATGGCTGCTCCAAGATGGCGGACAAGATTTGGTCTGATTCCATTCAAAATTGGTAAGTGGGGGTATTTGAGGTCGGAGATCATGATTTTTTTTGTTAAAATTTATAAATTCAAGATGGGGGCTTCCAAATTTTTTTTTGCTCTCAGTTCGAATGATGATAAGAGATATTTTATTCCAGGAACTGATGAAACGTTACCATGGGGACACTATTCAATCGATGATGATGTTGTGGAATATGGCTCATAAATTGATGGTGATATCTCTAGAATTATTTTGTTTATATATATATTTACACTAACGATTAATAAATATTCTCATGTATCAGTACTCATTATTTTTCCAACCTGTCTTTCCTCCCTATAAATGTTCACCCGTTCTGTACTCCTACCAACATGGTCAACTGCGGTGACCTTGAAAAAAGAGCCATTTTTGCTATTTTTTCGACCTTAGATTTTCTTATGGAGATTGAAATGGGGAAACTGAATTGAGCCCTCATGCTCTGGCTGTATATGAAAAAAGAGACATTTTTGCTATTTTTGACCTTAAATTTTCTTATGGGAATTAACATGGGAAAACTGTCCAAATTGGTCCCGTGCTCTTGCTGTACATACACTCACAACCGCGGCGCACGACTTGTGGGCGTGGTCTAGTGAGTTTCCAGCATTCAGCACAATGTGACCAAGTCTCCAACCTTCACATGATATTTTTTCGTTATGGAGTATGAGAAATATTTGGACTTGCTGGTTGCTCAGTCAAGAATGAACAATTATATCATGGGTTCCTCTTATTATGTTTTATTCAACGACAGGATATCTTTTTGATATCTTGATTATAATTGGTGACCTGACAACCTTGCTTCATGAGTGGAAATGAAAGATTATCTGACCAACAATGAAACAGCATTAAAACTGACATCACCATTCATTCGACGTATCGCCAAATGGCGGCCATGAAGGTTCGTTTGAAATGAGATCTGAAATTCAATAATTTCAAACAATGCATAGACTCATTATTTACATAAAAAATGTGAAGTGAAGTGTTGCAAAAATTAATTCGGGTTCCTAACTACACAGTGGAGTAATTGAATGCCAATTATTCATTATCAGTCTACTCGCCCATTAGGCGCCATTATTAATTTCATCAGTGTAAAGATTCCTTCAGAGGCAGCGCCACCTACTGTCTTCTTATTTTGAACGTAGCATAGTGCATAGTAGCCCAATGAAAATTGCTGCAATTTTCCGAAAAATTGCGAACGGTAAGAGCCGCATTAAGCAAAATACTCACCACCAGCAGCCATCTTCTTATTCCTCGCGTCCACCATCTTCCTATGCTTGTGCGAATTTCGATGGATCGTCCATTGAAAGTCGCCGACGAACACGCGATCGCAAACGTCACAGGTGTATGTAGTGTCGTCGGCATTCGGTACTGAATTACTGGACTGTTTGGGCAATTGCTGGTGCAACTGCTCGGTCCCGGCAATGGAGCTCTCCACTATTTCAATGGCGATTTTGTTGACTTGCTCTTGCCATTTGGACGTGTCGGATGCGTCCAACCCATATATTGGGGGAACCTAAGAGAAGTATTTCTAACTAACTGAAAGACTGGCCGAAAAGCAGATCATACTTTTCTTAGATGAAATAGAAAGATAGGATCTTGAATTTGTATTAACCAAGAAGCAGAACTTCAAAAGAAGAAATGAAGAAGACTCTGCTCCAACTACAACTCAAAGTTGGCCACAAAGCATAGTCTCTCTTTTTGTCTCAGAAAGAACTAGAAAGACAGGCTCTTTTAATAGTAGATTGTTTTATTAGGATCAAAAGTGACACTTTGTTTGACAAGCGAATTCTGCATTTGCGAGGAGGAGCGTTTAGCGAAGCCGAGCGAAAGCAAAATTTGCGAGTCGAACAAAGTCACTTTTGATCCGAATGAAACATGCTATTTTTTCTGCAACCGGAACAATTAACTCAAATAAATTTATGAAGTAACCACCAATGCCGTGTCATATGTATGCAATGCAACAAATATTGACAAATAATCCATGTGGTGAGAATATTCTACCTGCATCAACAGCAGGTTAGGTTTCCTAGGATGTTCGAATTGTAGTTTCAATATAAATACAACCACAGAGTGACATATTTGTGTATGGACCAGGTGCTCTAATGGCAAATACCGCGCCAGTGTCAGCTATAGGAACAAGACGTGGAAAATGTTAGGTTAGTGAGCATATCAACAATGATAATAGTGATTATTTATTCCTCTCCATACTACACTGTGTTTGACTTGATAATCAAATGAAGCTAAACAATATCGTTGTTTGAGACAAAAAAACTATTGCTTGCCGTGATTATTCAAAAACAAGTTATCCAACCCGAGAATAACGAATGAAATACAGATCAAGCAAGTATTTGAGTCTTGAAGGCTTCCCTGATCAAAACAAAAATACTTAACTGAGATGTTTATAATTCCAATACTAAACTATAATAAGGTGTATTCATATCTCCAGCATGGGTATGAAATGCCAAATCTGCTGAAATCGGAAACAAATCAGGTATGCGTCTCAACCCAAATAACCAACCGTCACAATGTTGTTTATTCTTGAAACCGTCCAGTAGATCCTTTTTAGTTCCTAGGAGCTAAAGTTCAACTTTAGCTCCTAGGAACTAAAATTCAACTTTAGCTCCTAGGAACTAAATATGTTGCCTAGCAACTTATACCTATTTTTGTGTCAGTAATAGAAACGTCAATTTAAGAGCTAATTTTGGTATCAAAATGGACGACTTTTGTGTCGGTTGCAGAAAAAAGCTTTTATTTAACTGGCAATGTATGTATGTATGTATGTATGTTAGTTCGGGTGGAATCTTTGAACACACGTTTAGTTTAGATGACAATGTACCATAAGGTGTGTGAAGTTATTATAAATCCAATATGGCGGACCATCCAAGATGACGGAATCGTTATTTTTAATGCACCTCTACAATATGGGTATCAAATGAAAGGGCTCATTGGGAGTAACTCGAAAAATACTGTGACGTCATTCTGAATTCAATATGGCGGACCATCTAAGATGGCGGAACAGCTATTTTCAATGCACTTCTACAACGACCAGACCAATTGCAAATGATTTCAACATGCATTTCGGATATATTTATAGTATTTAAGAAGTAATTGAGGTATTTAAAATACTTAAAATATATTCAAAATAATTATGAAGGATTTAAAATATTTTAAAAAGATTTAAAACGTATTTAGAGTATTTAAAATATTTAAATGGTAATTAATATAATGGAAATGTACTGAAGAGAATGAAAAAATAATTAATAGATATTTAAAATAATTGGAAGTATTTAAATATTTAAAATTCAGGGTGTACACCATATTTAAAGAGTTGTTTGCCCCTCGAGTGATACATACTGCAATAATGAAATGAAAACTGAATTTACTAAATGTTCATTACTATTTTCTATTAGGAGACCAAAAAAAGGTTATGCTCCATTCAGAAATGTATTGGAAGTTCACCATAAATCAAAACCTCATTGTCTATTTCATAAGACTGAATACAAAGAGAGGCTCTGCTCCATCCAACTTGGCCATGATTGTCATGAAACAAAACCTGTCTCTCCAGCTCTCCATATTTAAAATACTTTCCTGCTAGAGAATTTGATAAATTATGGTAGAATTACATTTCAATTCACATAGAAATTCAGGCTAAAAAGAGACAATGTCCTCATTATAAGCTAGCAATCTTTTACCTGTCTATCCTCTCTGCCAAGAAATCTATTGACAATCCATCTCCTTTGTTTCCTTGCATATCTTCTAGTGGCCATTTTCAGTTGTTCAAACCCTTCATTCAACTTTTGAAGACCATCTCTGCCAATGCGCTCTTCTTCACTTAACATAAGATATGAGTGGAATTCTTTGAATCCTATAGACTGGAATATCCCTTTAGTGTAATCTGGTTCACTACAAAACAAAGGAAAAACATAATATCTAATGTACAAAATTCTCCTGTCCCGGTCATGGTGTTAGTGGTCGATCTCCTCCGAAACGGCTTGACCGATTCCTATGAAATTTTTTGTGCGTATTCGGTAGACATGAGAATCGGTCGTAATCTATTTTTCAAATCGAAAATTCAAGATGGCGGATTCAATATGGCGGACGGGTATTGTTATTCGATTTCATTCAAAATTGGTATTTGGGAGTTTTTGGGGTCGGAGATTATCATGATTCTTTCGTCAAAATTTGGAAATTCAAAATAGCGGATCCAATATGGCGGACGAGTTTTGTAATTATGGTCAGATCCTATTCAAGATTGGTATCCGGAGGTTTCAGAGGTCGGAGATATGAATCATTTGTCAAAATGGCGGATCCAATATGGCGGATGAGTTCTTTAATTATGATCAGATTCGGAGATAATGATTCTTTCATCAAAATTTGGAAATCCAAGATGGCAGATTTAATATGGCGGACGAGTTTTGTGACTATGATCCGATTCCATTCCAAATTTGTATCTGGGAGATTTTGGGATCGGAGATTATGATTCTTCATCAAAATTGGGAAATTAAAATAAATAGAGGATCCAATAAGACAACTGAGTTTTGTAATTATGATCCGATTCTAATAAAAATTTGTATCTGGGTGTATTCGGGGTCAGAGAAGAAATTAGAAAACAAAATAATAAGAGTATGTTGATAAATATTCAACTAAAAAAATATTTTCTAGAAATAATTGTATATAGCAAAACAACGTGTGCCGGGTATCACATATTGTAATAAATATTAGTTTGAAAAACTAATGAAACACCTTTTTATAGTTAGCCAAACTAAAAAGAAGTGATCAGAAAATAAAGAGTAGTTTGAAAAAATGAAGAGGTATATAGAGTACCACACTAAAAAGAAGTAGAAAATAAATAGAGAAGTTTGAAAAACTAAAGAATCCCGCTTTCATTGATTGACAAACTAAAAAGAAGTAGAAATAAAATTATGAAAGTTTTCTGATAAATATTTATCTAAAAATTTGTTTCTAGAAATAATGTTTATGGCAAAACAAGGTTCTCTGGGTCAGCTAGTATTTTATGAATTAATGAAGTTTCTCACTCAAACTCACAAATTCCAGTTTGAACATAAGAAATAAATTACTAACCTCTCAATATTCATTCTATCTTTATTGTACATTTTGTGGAAATTCAGCAATTCCTTCAAGAGTCCCTCTTCCATCATACTATCAACTCTGTCATCCAGTCTTTTATCAAGAATATCCTAAAGCAAACATAATGAGTGACAGCAGGAAGTGTGGTTGTGCTGGTTCATCAAACCTGATCACACTGTAACCACAAAACCAAAGAATTTGGAAACCTCAAGCCTCCACCAGAGGGAGAAGCATCTTTGGCAGATTGTTGTTCCTCCAATATTTCACTATGTTTTCTACCATTCTTGTATAATATCTCAAGAGACCTATAGTTAGAAAAAAATGTATTCACCTTCAAAACAAACCTTACAAACTTGTTTTGTTAGTAATATAATAATTGGATTGAAGCAGTAACCAAGATTCTGATATATTAATAGTTGATGGTACAGTAACAAATTATAATGTAGGTACCTTAAAATTTTCCTTTTATTATTGGGGTGCAGTCTCTTGGCCATAGAAATATCCAGTAACATGAGTTTTTCATGTAATTTTTCACTTGGTAATTCATGATCATTGTTAGGTAGGATTCCTGGCCCTTTATTGAAAGGACCATCATCAATGAGTATTTTCCAAAGAAGTGATTCAATGTAATAGTTCGTACCTCCAACAACAATGGGAAGTTTCCCATTAGAGAGGAGACTGTCAATCACCTTCAATGTTCTGTTTTTGTATTCAATAACAGTGAATGTCTCCTGAGGTTCCAGGATATCAATCATATGATGAGGAGCCAACAATTGTTCTTCATGAGTTGCTTTTGCTGTAATAATATCAAGTCCTTTATATACCTATAAAGATAATGATATTTGAGACTCCATTCCCAACAAACAGGTATAGGATATGGAAAATAAACTAACAAACATCAACTAAAGACTAATTCTCCATACTCTATTGAATCTGAAATATATTTTTGGCCACTTGCCCCTATACAATTTTTCCAAAATGTCTCTTGCTACTGTCTAACTTATGGGGCTGAAATAAATTTTAAACTAGACAGTAATGGTTAGTGACTGACCGAAATTATGTGAAAATAAGAGGTACAGTCACCAACTGATTGAAATACTAATTACACTATTCACAACATTGATAACAATAGGAGAAAATTAATTCTTACCTGCATGGAATCAGCTCCTATGATTTCTCCTCCAAATTTTTTGGCTAATTCTAAGGACAGTTTTGTTTTTCCTGAACCTGTAGCGCCCAAAATGACAACGAGAGGTAATCTGGAAGACATTTCTTCTTAGAATTTCAGATGATTGAGAATAAATTGAAAATTTCAAAAAAACATGTGTGTTTTCACATTTTCGTTCATTTGTTTTTGTTTCACCACAGAACAGGTATAGCCCGTATAGCCTGAAGAAGAATGTCAGAAACAACAGAAACTCAGAACACCTCAGAACACAAAGAATTAGAGACTCGAGCATAAAACTCTTATTCTTCTTTTTTCTTGTACTCCAAAATTTGTTTTTATTTTAATTCGAAAACAAGAGATTATTCTTGCTTGAATCAATTTGATCTGAAAAGAGAAGAATTAAATTAACCTTCTAATCGAAGTTCTTAACCTGGAAGTTTGTTTTGTTATTGTTATGAAAATGTCTGATTTTCTAGCAGAAAATAATATATGTGGCCAAACGATTTTGAATCTTGTTTCCAGAGGAAATGCAATAATTGCCGAATTGTTGAGACTCAAAGATTATGTACCAAAGGTTTATAGGTGAAGAACTCAAAATCGAAAACAGCATACCTATAATAGAAATCCCATTATAACAATTCATTTCAGGCTGGAAACAAAACAAGATATCCAAAAATATAGTGATATAATCCTGGATTTCAGTTTCGTCAAGATATCCGAGAGCCATGAACAGAAAATTGAAAACAATGAAGTACATTGCCCAATACAATTGACAAAAAAATGTCTACATAGATTGTTTTAGGTGCTCAGAGATTTGGATGAAGAATTCCGAGATAACCACATTGAAATTATCAACAGATTTTACTTGGTGTTTGAAAGTATTCATTCCTACATAACAGACCTGAATCAGTTTTTAGAGGAACTTGAGGAGGGTTTTTACATTCATCAAACACTTGAAAGCACATTCCTTGATGTTGAGGGAAAACAGGTCATGGTGAGCAAATTTTCGAAAAAATGTCAATATTTTTAATCCCTTATTTGGGCTTCAAACAGTGTGAAGCCTTATACCTATATGGTCTTATGTTACTTATTGTTGATGGAAACATAGAAGGAATAGTTAGAGAACGTCTCTTAGTGTCATATTATCGCTATGCACCTCAGAGACAGGACACTAGGAGTTGCATTGATGAGGTATGTAAGCTACTCAGAGATACTGGTTATGGTACTTCAAAGAAAGCATCTACATATCCAGAGGATTATTTCAGGTAAGTTCCTGGTTTCCTAAGCCCAAAAATCATTCAGAAAATATAAAATGAGTTGTTGATGTAATTTTTTTTACCTTATTATCCCTATTTTCCCAATTTTCCTCAACATTTCATGAAGAAACATCACATTTTATGAATGCATGAGTATGAACGAATCTATTAGACAAGTCATAACTTCTAGACCATTAGGTGTATCAAAATGAGATTTGGTATTGGTAAATGGTATGTGAAGAGGAGAGTTTTCACATATTTTTCACTTTCCGGTCACTTCCGGTTTCACCGGAAATGACGCCTGTTCTAAATTTTTAAATGGAACACCCTGTATATTGTAACATTTTTGGATTTTTGAGACAATTCTAGACCAGAATATGACATTTTCTGAAGTTTTTATGCCTACTTAATTTTTTCGGAGTCACTTTTGAAATCACATCTATAGGTGGCCATGATGGAAAATAAACTAATCTAAGGACCTCAGGCCTCAGGTGATATCAGAAAATTACAATCGCGAAGTTTCAGTGACAAGTATGATAGATATGAATAAGACAAGTTGGCAAAATTACATTTTCGTGTTTAACTATCGTTTTTCAAATGGCGAGCATTTTTTGACAAGCACTTTCCGAAAAAAGGATATTTTGACGAATCTAAGATACTAATTTATTTGCGATTGGATTACAAATAAGAACATAAATTAAATATTACTGACGAAAATACTTCATAATAATTCATTTACTTTTGTCAAGTGTGCCATGGATGATTATTCATTTACTTGTAAGCACTTCCCGAAAAATAGTACATTGTTTACCGGGTAGGAGCTTAACATTCCTGGGCGACTGTGAAGATTGCTAGTCGAGGCGCAAGCCGAGACTTAGCAACACAGAGTCCAGGAATGTGGCTTTTCCTACGAGGTAAACATACTATTTTTCCGCAAATCGTTTAAAATTCGACAGGTATTGATTGATTTAAAAAAAAACGCGATAATTTTATTCCCAAATAAATGGTGCTTTGAAATTCCTGATAAAATTACTTGGGTTACTATGGAAACGTATTGGGGTTGAATTGTCAAACTTGACGCTTATAAATTTAATTGCTGGTGTTCTCGAAAGTAAAATGATAAGTGATGATGAAATTTCCATTCCTGGGACTCCTCCAGAGCTGGTTGAGGCAGTGAATACTGCTTCATTAGAATTATTGCCAAAGAAATCAAGAGAAAAGTACGAAAATAATAATAATAAGCAATGTGTTTTCAATCATTTATGTAGAACACTATAACAACTGTACGGAAATATCATTTCCTTACTGTAAGGAAATGACATTTCCTTACAGTAAAGAAGTCCTGACTTTTTCTTCAAGAAATTTTGACAGGAATGTCAAAATTTCCTAGCGATTTGCGGAAAAGGATATTTTGACGAATCAAACGATACTAATTTATTTGCGATCGGATTAACAAACAAAACAAAATCAACAATAGCTTCAGTGATGCACTTACATTTTTTCCAATTTCCTAATTTCTTAAAATTTTCACTATAGTAAATTTTAAAAGTGCATTCCTCCTTGTTCAAGACACATATTTAATATTTATCTATGTCCTTATTTGTAATCCAATCGCAAATAAATTAGTATCGTTTTAGATTCGTCAAAATATCCTTTTTTCGGAGAGTGCTTGTCAATAAATGGTCGCCATTTGAAAAATAATAGTTAGACACGAGGTTAGACACGAAAATGTAATTTTGCCAACTTGTCTCATTCATATCTATCATACTTGTCACTAAAACTTCGCGATTGTGATTTTCCGATATCATCACCTGACGAGGTCCTTAGATTAGTTTACTTCCGATCATGGCCACCTAGATGTAATTTCAAAAGTGACTCCGAAAACATTAAGTAGGCATAAAAACTTTCGAAAATGTCACATTCTGATCTAGAATTGTCTCAGAAATCCAAAAATGTTACAATATACAGGGTGTTCCATTTAAAAATTCAGAACCGGAGCCATTTCCGGTGAAACCGGAAGTGACCGGAAAAATATGTGAACACTCTCCTCTTCACATACCATTTACCTATACCAAATCACATTTTGATACACCTTATGGTCTAGAAGTTATGACTTGTCTAATAGATTCGTTGACACCCGGTATATTTCACTAGAAAAAATGTATTGATCTGCCTATGAGAGCAATTCAGCTAAAACCACAGCAAACATTGATAATGTCAAGGATATGGATACAAAATTTTGGGTATCAATAAGTGTACAAATTGATCAAACATTTTAAAGTCATTATAAACAAATAATATCTTCACGTGTAAAGAATAAAAAAATGTAGGTAATGAAACAAAACCTCAAAATAATCAAGCAGAAATGAGAAGGAAACTGTTGTAACATTTTTCATGTGGGTATTTGAAAATTTGACATTTTAAAAATTTTTCCAGTTGAAATAATAAAAATGTTTCCTTCTTGATAGCAATTTGGTTATTTGGTCATTTTCCGTTTTCATCTCTTCCTGTACTTTTATGTATGCGTTTGATCTGTCATAAATACATAGTTGGACGACCTACACTTTTACACAAATATGCAGTGCCGTCCGTATTATTATTGAACTAAAAAGGGACTATAGTCCCATTATAATGGGCCTTCCAGTATCTGAAATTTTATCCTTTTTCTCAGGGAATTTAAAATGTTAAAAACGTTATCCTGACCACATATTCATTGAGAAAATCGAAGGACATATGAATTATTTGATATTGAAAATGCTATTTCAAATCCTGTAAATTCAAACGCTACTGAACTGTGATGTCAGTTTCTTCTTGCAATTCGATTGGTTGGAGTTCTGACAGCCGGGAATCACTCCGCTGTTGCCAGATCTCTATAAAAGCCTTGAATTGCTGTAGTAGGTAGGTGATTAGTTGATTGATATTTCACTGCTAATCACATTCAAAATTAACTCTGAAATCCAAAGTATTCCATTAGTTTAAAGATTAGCTGGGATAAAATGTGATGCAGACATCTAACAGCAGTAAAATACGCTTTCTATATACTCAGTTTGGTTTAAAAGTTATGTTGAAATTTCTTTGACTAATTGTTATTATTAACAAACTGAACAGTGTTACTATATCTCAAGCACCCATTTCCGGAAAATTAAAATTCTAATTTGGCAACTATTTCTACAACGTGTCTCATTTCAAACGGCTCCCCCTCTATATATCTCAGCTATCAGTCGTGCGATCTTCACCAAATTTGTATCGGTATGAATTATCATCAATATGACCAGTTCTTCAAAGAGAAACATAATTTTAGACAGTGCCGTGCATTTTTATTGGAATTAATAGTGGTCAGTTTTTTATTAAATCATATTAGGCATTTTTTCACAGGAAAACTGACCTAATAATCTTCATGGTTTCCAAACCACATACGGGGATTTTCATGAGATGCCTATGAAGGGTTTCAGAAAAACTGGCACATCTAAACAGCATTTTTGCGAACGTAATAATTATTTACTCGGAAATGGTGAGTTCAACATAAAGAAGTATAACTCGTTTTTCCTTCCAAATCATGATTTTCCATCTACCGGAGCCATTGAACGTTCCAAAATTTGTAGTTGATTTGATGTCACTATTTATTCGAGACTGAAAATGAAAAAAATTAAGCCAATCCTGTTAATTCGGAATCAGGTGATTTTTTGTATATGGAGCTCGAAAGCATGAGGAACGAGGTTAGATTTCCTGTAAAAAAATGCCTAATAAGATTTTATAAAAAATCGACCCTTTTTAGTTCAATAAAAACGCACGGCACTGTCCAAAATAATGTGCATCTCTGTAAAACTGATCATATTGATGGTTTTTCATACCACACCAAATTTGGTTGGATTCGCATGACTAATAACTGAGATATACAGGGGGGGCCGTTTAAAGTGAGACACGCTGTATATAAAACCATCTGGGTCGATTCATGTTGCAGTAGAGTGAAGATTAAATCACAAATTTGAAAAAATATACAGGGTGTTAATATTGAAAAAAACATAACTTTGGGCTATATCTGCATAATTATAGCTTATTTTCAGAATCTGACTACGCCACTGGATTTTACGTGAAAAATTTGTACCAAGCAGTTTTTACTTTCTCGCTATGTTGAAAGGTAACTGAGATACAGTGGGTCCCAAAATGCAAGATTTTCAATACTGCCCTGTTTCTAAAAAAAAATGGGAGTTATGAAAATTAGCCCACGTTCGCCAAAATTGCAAAAAATGTCTATCTCTGAAAATAAGTGAGATATCCCTTAAGGACATCGAAACTGCGACAGCCTGTACATTAACATCGAATTCACGCATTTCTGTTCTCTTCTTCTGTTGTCTTTTGCTTATCAGTGCCAATTCAAACTATCCAAAGAGTTTAAACCAAGTGGAAATTTCAGGAGGATCCCGATAAGATCAACTTATATCGATTACGTCATAGGCCGTCTCAGATCCGACGACATCTACGGCCAAATCTCCGTGTACCCGCTGCCCCAGCACCGCAGCACAGCTCTGGCCACCCAAGCCTCCATGCTCTACGTCTGTCTCTACTTCTCCCCCCACCTGCTGCACTCCCAAACGGCCATCATGCGCGAAATCGTCGACAAATACTTCCCCGACAACTGGGTGATATCGCTCTACATGGGCCAAACCGTCAATCTAACAGAAACTTGGGAGAACTTCAAGGCAGCCAAATCAGCGCTGAACAACACTTTGGACCTCGGCAATGTCAAGGAGTATGCAGCGAATTATGGTTCCGAAGTGGCTAAGTTGCACAAAACCACGAGCGGTTTGCTGAAGGAGGGAAATATCACTAGGGAGACGCTGCTGAAGAGAACGCAGAGTATCAGCAACACTCTCAGGGAGTGCAACGTCACGGTGAGGTGGCTGATGCTGCACACGGTGTTGAAACCTGGGCAAGCTGACAAGACCAAGAGGTTTGTGAATAACGATTTAAAAAAAATACCATTGGCAAAACAAATTCCCAACAAGTTCTATAACGCGCCTTCAATATTAACCTCGATATTAACCAATGGGTTGCGTGCAAGAACTGTCAGATGACCGACACTGGAGGCAAAACATTGAAACACAATGTCACTTTTCTTATTTATTTACAAGTGATCGAAATAGTTTTTCACAATTATTTTGGCATACGAATCGTATTTTTCCGCTATTCATCAATTCGCTCATGCCATCACATTGTGCTGTTGTAAAATGCACGAAAACTGCAGCGGAAGATGGAGGAATCCGGATGGTACATTATGATTTAAAAGTAAGTACCTACTATAGTCACTCACCTATAGTTTTCATTTTTGAAATTTGGTAATTTCTCTGATTTCTCATCGAAATTCCTTCTGCGATAGGAGCTAATAGAAATACACCTGAAATTTCTAAAATAATGCAGGAAGATTGGATTCATGCAATCAATCGGGAGGAGTGGTCTGACATGCTGACGATCGTGTGTGTTGTAGACATTTTCAATCTATTAGCAGTATTAGCTTGTATTGCAGGAGTGGCAGAAGGCAGAAGGAGTTTTAATAAGGAATGACAACATTCCATAATGATAACTATGTGAGATTACTATTTACCTGAAAAATCATATTCCTTAGTCGCTTGCTGCATTTTTTGTGCATTGTACAACAGTACAATGCGAAGGCATGCTTGAATTAATGAATAGCGCAAAAAACACGATTCGTATGCCAAAATATTGTGAAAAACTATTTCAATCCTTTGAAGAGAAATAAAAAAGTGAGGTTGTGTTTCAATAATTTACAGAAGAATGAGGTTGTGTTTTAATATTTTGCCTCCAGGGTCGGTCATCGTGCACGCGACCTATTAAAGCGAAGGTCAACGCTTCCCTATGGTTTCTAACGCTGTATTCTTAGTTGAAATGGACTGTAGGATGACATATAAAATTCATCGGCTCTTCGTTCTTGAAGGAGCTTGTAAGTCTCCGGAACAGAATGTATATCTATCATGATTTTTAATAATTTTCTTTGATAATCATATATAACGCTATTATACATAGAAAATCTGTCCCACATTTCATTATCGACAGATTGCTGAGTCCATACCACCTTTTGGTGGTTAGTATCTTCAGCAGCAATATAGGAAGAAAATACTCAGAATTCATAGTGTTTACTCTCGAGACCTGTCACTGGAAGAATTTTATTGGTTTCGGAATATAAAATCAACTGATTCACTACTGACAGTTGAATTCGTGTTAATCTGGATATTTTTAAAAGTGGATGTATAATTTGATGCGCTATCTTCTAATGGCTGTGGGTTCTTGTTATTCTGGTTCAAACGATGGTCAAAAAACAATCACGACACTAAAAAATGAAAAAAAAGTAAAGCTCGCATTGTGACGAACCAGAAAAGTTCGACGTATTCTCATATGAATGAGATGTTTTCATCGACAAATTCTTTCCCGACAACTGGTTGATCTTGCTCTACATGGACCAAACCATCAACCTAACAGAAACTAGGGACAATTTGAAGGCAGCCAAATCAGCGTTGAACAACACTTGAACCTCGGCAATGTGAAAGAGTTCGCTGCGGGCTATGGGCCCACAGATTTTCAGAACAAAAAACATGGTAAATATAAATTACTGGATGGAAGCTTCCGTTTGAACATGAAGAAAAACCGCCAGCAATACTACAAGTACTATGACATTCTGGCCGTTTATTTGCAGCCTAATTCGAAATCATTCCACTTTGCAGCCATATTGTAATGTATAAGATAAAGTTGCACAGCAAGGATATCTCTAACACGGGAGGAAATACGAATTCCATTAAATGGGAAAAGAGTTGCGCATTCAGAGGGTCAATCAAGATTGCAATTTGTCTGACGTGACGTTTTGAAAACTTCAACCTGGAATTGTCCATTTTGACAAATATTTGGGTTATAATCAAGACCTGGAATGCCAGACACTGTGCTGCTCGGACCTAAAACTAAGTATCAATTTGAAACTCGAATCGTGAGACGAACATGGAAAGAAGAGTTTGCATAACTGGAGTGGATAACCCATCTAGCGTCTACCTCCTTTGCAGAAAGGGTTTATGAACGCAAAGTTGGTACTCTCCCCTCGTAAGGGTACCTGTCGTGTTTCCATAGAGACATAAAGGTGAATATCTGTCTATCTGTTTTCTTGAGAATCTGGAAAAAAAATCAATATATCGCCTTCCGTACGAACATGGTGATCTGAATTACGAGGAGTATACTCTGGTCATTTTTCTGCTTTGTGGATCGTTTCTTAGGTTCGGCTCGATTGGAAGGTTTCCTCGGATTTTGTGTCAAATATCAAACACTGTGCTCCTCGGATCTGCAACTTCAACATCACATATCAAATATCGAATCATATGAATCAAAAATGATTATTGGATGCGGTTCATGGATGTTGAATTAGAAACTTACCTGAATATTTTTTGCAACGTTCGTAGTTGGATTGCCAACAAATAAGTTTTGTTTCCGAAAAGAAGTTTCCTCAGTAGACTTCATCCACATCTCCACATTACGTGGGTTATAATCAAGATCTGGAATGCCAAACATTGTGCAGCTCGGATCTATAAGTATCAATTTGAAATTTAAATCGTAAGACGAACATGGAATGGAGAATCTGCATATTGTTCTCAACATTCGTAACTGGAATGCGATATTTTTTCGTAATTCGTTAATTAATCAACTATCTCAATGAATTTCAGGCAGGTAGATAGGCAATAATTTTCTCCGCGATGAAAAACACTGTATTAACTTTACCCATCTAGCGTCTACCTCCTTTGGAGAGAAGGTTTATAAACGCAAAGTTGGTACTCTAGAAACTCACCTGAATATTTTTGCAACGTGCCTAGTTGGATTGCAACATATAAGTTTTGTTTCCGAATAGAAGTTTCCTCAGTAGGCTTCATCCACATTTCCACTCAACGTGATTTATAATAAAGACCTGGAATCCCAAACACTGTGCTGCTCGGACCTAAAACTAAGTATTAATTTGAAATTTGAATCGTGAGACGAACATGGAATGAATAGTCTGTATATTGTTTTCAACATTCGTAACAGGAATGCGATATATTTTTGTAATTTATGCATGAATCAACTATCTCAATGAATACGAGACAGGCAGATAAGCAACAATTTTCTCTGCGATGAAAAACACTGTATATACCTAACCCATCTAGCGTCTACCTCCTTTGCAGAGAGGGTTTATGAACGCAATGTTGGTACTCTCCCCTCGTAAGGGTACCTGTCGTGTTTCCATAGTGACATAAAGGTGAATATCTGTCTATCTGTTTTCTTGAGAATCTGGAAAAAAAATCAATATATCGCCTTCCGTACGAACATGGTGATCTGAATTACGAGGAGTATACTCTGGTCATTTTTCTGCTTTGTGGATCGTTTCTTAGGTTCGGCTCGATTGGAAGGTTTCCTCGGATTTTGTGTCAAATATCAAACACTGTGCTTCTCGGATCTGCAACTTCAACATCACATATCAAATATCGAATCATATGAATCAAAAATGATTATTGGATGCGGTTCATGGATGTTGAATTAGAAACTTACCTGAATATTTTTTGCAACGTTCGTAGTTGGATTGCCAACAAATAAGTTTTGTTTCCGAATAGAAATCTCCTCAGTAGGTTTCATCCACATTTCCACTTAACGTGATTTATAATAATGACCTGGAATACCAAACACTGTGCTACTCGGACCTAAAACTAATTATTAATTTGATATTCGCATCGTGAGACGAACATGGAATTAAAAGTCTGGATATTGTTTTCAACATTCGTATCTGGAATGCGATATATTCTTGTAATTTATGCATGAATCAACTATCTCAATGAATACGAGACAGGCAGATAAGCAACAATTTTCTCTGCGATGAAAAACACTGTATATACCTAACCCATCTAGCGTCTACCTCCTTTGCAGAGAGGGTTTATGAACGCAAAGTTGGTACTCTCCCCTCGTAAGGGTACCTGTCGTGTTTCCATAGAGTCATAAAGGTGAATATCTGTCTATCTGTTTGCTTGAGAATCTGGGAAGGAAATCAATATATCGCCTTCCGTACGAACATGAATTTAGAGAAGTATACTCTGATCATTTTCTTTGTGGATCGTTTCTTAGGTTCGGCTTGACTGGATGGTTTCCTCGGATTTTGTGTCAAGTATCAAACACTGTGCTTCTCGGATCTGCAACTTAACATCACATATCAAATATCGAATCATATGAATCAAAAATGATTATTATTGGATGCGGTTCATGGATGTTGAATCAGAAACTTACCTGAATATTTTTTGCAACGTTCGTAGTTGGATTGCAACATATAAGTTTTGTATCCGAATAGAACCTCTCTCAGTAGACTTCATCCACATCTCCACATTACGTGGGTTATAATCAAGACGTGTAACTAGCGCCCTCTATGAGTGTCAGATATAAAAACAAATTCATGCGGTGTGTCAGCTTTCAGAACACATCCATACGAAATCTCATCGTTACCAGCAGATTCAACAATCGAAAAAACTGTTAAAGAATATTTTTTCAACAGCACCTTGTCTCTTGAAAACGGATGCCGTTACGACATTTTTTCACTGGGCAAACCCAACTCATTTTGCAATGTTCCACTTACCCTTGCAAGGGGATCAGGTTTTTTTGAGACACCCTTTATACAAGGTTTTTCACAATAAGGGCGAATCAGACGTTTCTGGCAAACCAAGCATAATATCAATATGAAAATTTGATGGTATGTATACATTGGCATGATCCAAAGGTTTTTTTTCATGTTCTGGTTCCCACGAAAAGGGATATCCTGTAATGTTCAGAGAACATCGTGAGAACCAAGGGAAATAAGGAAGGAATTGGTGTTCTTCTTATATTTCTGGAGGTTATATATGCCTCGGGGAACACCTCCCTTGGCAATGTGTTCCAGAGCCTCAC